GTGTCTCTCCGCATGCCGGACACTCATTTGGCACGTCTGCGTCTAAACTGCTCAGGTATGAGTTTAACCTGCTGCAGAAGCCAGAGCGAAGTTGGGCTATTGTGGTTCTAGCCTCCCGAGGCAGATGAAGCTCCGTCTTGTCAATGGCCGGTGGTTGTGCGACTAGTTATACGGCATTCACAGGTCTCGAGTCTACATAACTCTAGACTCACTCCCTGTGAATGCCGCTCAGGGCCTGTTGATAAGCTGACGGGTCCAGAGGTTGTTTAATGAACCGTCCGTCAGTTCGCAGAGATGCCTCCTGACGTGCCTGGGCGAGGGCTCTTCTGCAAGCAGTTGTCTATTTGGGTGACCACGTCTATTGCTCCCAACAAGAAACTGCTTGCAGAGCATCGGGACCATTTTCGCTTCGTCGTGCAGGTGGTGTTCTGGCGAAATCAGAAGGCATCCAGTCGCTGTCCGGGGTGTTTTGCTTTCAAGAATATTTGTGCTTTACTTTCCCCCGAGATTCTGGTAAAACCATGAAGGGAAGAACCTTCTCTCTCGACGAACAATTTGTTAATAAAGTCTCAGGAACTTTCTGACGGAACGAATCGGGAACAATTTTTTTTTACTATTCGCGTTGTATTAGTTTGATATGTTTGAATAGTTTTTATTTTATCCTCCTTGAAGAAGATCTCGATATTTTCGTTCTCATTGGAAACGTTTGTAAGAGTTTTGTTCTCATTTTGCTCTATTTGAGAATGATGCCGAGAGCATTGTTCGTTTTGTTCTTTACGGAAACGTTGCCGAACTATTTGTAATATACTAATGTTCCCGTCTGCTTCTTTTGTGGGAACTTTCTTGACATTATATTTGGTTTTAGAGTAAAAGTAAATAAAGAAGAATAGAACTATAGAAACCGGCAGAACTGTTAATTTTTTCGATAGGGAACGCGGTTTAATTGTGTTAAATTATAAAAATGTGATTTATAAAAAAAAGATTTAATGAAGAAAATGCTAGAAACGGTGATATCTGTGAAAGGATTAGTGAATTTCAATGCATTTAAAGGTTCTGCGGTATTTACTTTTACTTGAGAATTGTCAAAATCGGCAAAACCAAATTAGCGGTTTGCGGAATGCGCTGTTTGCTACAACGTATTCGACAGCAAAATATATTCTCAAAACACAACGAGAATTTTGGGCCATTTTAAACTTGCACTAAATGCTGTTTGCTACAACGTATTCGACAGCAAAATATAATCTCAAAACACAACGAGAATTTTGGGCCATTTTAAACTTGCACTAAAATTTAAGAGGCTGGTATCAAATTGCATACGCGAAATTTTGCTAAAAAATTTGGTTAAAAAGCTTGAGGTTTGATGAAAATTTTAGTAGATGTTGATAGTTCAATTCCACCAAGCATTAACTACAGTTTATGCCTGACGGAAAAATGAGATTACAGTTCGAAGGCGGTGATGGCTCGTATAAAGTACAAGCAATCGAAAGCAAAAAAGCAAAAAGTAAGAAATGAACTTTCCTGGTAACCCCAAGTTAACGTTATTTACACTTTCTGAGCTGTTAACTGCCGTTAAGCTCTTAATGGAAATGGGCTATTATAAATGGAAAAGCAAGTCCATTTCAAAAGTCTTTCAAACTCAGAATTTCCAAGAGATTGCAGGAGCAGTTATTTATTTATTTATTATTTATTAGTTACACCTTGCATGTAAAGTGGCTTTCGAAAGCACTTTTTATGGGAAATCTTTAGCTATTTGTACAACGATTTAGGGGTGGGGGCGGAGGAGGCGTGGTCCCCCATCGTTGTACAAATTCATAGAGTATCCCTTATTTAGGTATTGAATTTCTGCGAATCTGCAAAAATAACTTTTTACTTTTTACACGCGAAAGTTTTCGCGTTTTGGCAGCAAAACGCGTAACAGCTACTTGACATCCACTTACCAATCTGCAATTCGCCTATCGGAAATAAAAAAACCTCTTTCGAAAATGCAAAGGCTTGACTGCTCATGCAATTGCGTTCTGAATTTTCTCAATTAGACAGCATTTCCGGAATATATTGCCACATCTGACGCGCTCTTAACAGCTAGTTTAGATTTGTTTTAATTATTTATTATTAACAAATAGCCTAGGGTGAAAGCGATTTCTGCAAATTGGCAAAAACTGTTTATAGGGTGTTTACACGTGAAAGTACTTCGTTCCGCATTTTGACAGCAAATGCGTAGAAAACGCTCTTGCATTGCTGAGTTTAACCACACTCTTAAGATTTGGTGATATGTATATCCCCTACATTAAACTTTAAGACCGAAATTCATAAAAATTAAAGGTGTTTATAAATCGAAAACTTTTATGAAAAGTGTCACTTTATAAATCTCTTTAAATTGATTTTATAATTTATGAATAAGGCCATTATCACGGAGAGCCTAAACTAATAACTTCATATAAAAAAATATATACATATATATGTATTTAATTCCACAGCGCCAATATTAGACGACAATCCATGCGATATACACATGTACGTACGTAACTCGCAATTTCTGCTTTTATTTCCCGCACAAAGTGTGCCTTGCTATCCCTGCTCATTCCGCGTCCATGGGTCTTATTCTATTTGGACCTGAAAATTCTTATGCAATTCGAAACCCTCTAAATAAACGGAACTTTACTGGAAAATGTTTGATTATAGTATCTCTCTTCAGACTTTTTGGCAATGCTGAAAAGCGCATTTTTGTCGCAATAAACATAAAGTACACGCCGCCGTCACAAACGGCAACGACACCAACACCGACACGAACAAAACGCAACCCAGCCACCAGCCACACACTTTTTTCACGACTCCACAACGCGTCTTACCGAGTAAACTTCTACACAAATTATATTTCTCGACGATTTCTAGTATCTTTAATACATTTTGCATGTGATTTTATGCAAAACAAACAATTTATTTATGTCTACTAGCAGTTTTAAAAATATAATTGTCCAGATTGTAACTAAACTGCTGTGGACAAAATCAACGATGTTAATCGACAAGGAAAATTGTTTTTACCCTACAACAAATATAGCCATCTCTTTCTGTTTTGTATGTTTGGAAATGAAGTGGCGGTAAAGCATATATATGGAGCTGTTCGGAAAATATGTTCGCATTTTGGTCCCTAACACTGTGTTTACATAAGATAATTTTTAACAAGACATTTGAGAATATGTATTAGTTGTCAATTTGTTGTGGTAAGTAGGCGTCCAGACAATTTTAAAGAAAAAACAATTTTCAGCAACCGCCGTTAGTGTCATTTGGTATAATTTACTCAAATATCCAAACGCAAACCAATTTTTCATAATTCAGCAATTTTCTGTGATTACGCCCTGCCTATTTTTCCCAAATTAACCAAGACAAAACCGAATCGTCTAATTTACTATCCGATTCACTGCCTTAAGAGCGAAATACACAACACAAGCGGCTTGACAAACCAAGCGAAATATCCCTTTGTTTCAATCCATTTGTGTTGTCTATGGGGGTGTTTGAAGGTTTGACAAACCGCTTGAGGGAAATTTGAGCAAAAATCAAAATTTTTTGATTTTCTGGTCGCCATGTTGACGTTTGATCAAACCGCTTGCGATGTGGATGGTAAAATCGCCTCATTTGTTGCTGAATTTTCACCAAGTGAGGACGTAAGGGAGAAAAATGGAAGAAAACCAACAGTTTTAACATTGTGAACCGGAGGAAAACTAAAATTCTGTGCTTGAATGACTCATGTTTGCATGGTGTATGGCGAAATGGGAAAAGTAGGTTTGACAAGCCGCTTGTGTGGTGTATTTCGCTCTTTAGAAATATCAAAGACAGTGACGAAGGCAATGAGAGAGGTGTAAATGTATTGCTATTGTCTTGATAAAATTGTCTCATGTAAACGCCGGGTAACCGGTTGGAAAAATTGCCAAGAAGTCGGTATAGCAGTGCAACAGAGGACGAGCACACTGATTCGTACAGAAAAAGCTAGCTGGACACAATTATTTAGGGCCGGTTGTTCAAAGCCTGGTTGGCACTAATCCCTGGTTAAACATCGTTATTGACGTTACCGACACCGTTCTATATGCACAGAATTGAAGCCGGCCCTTAATAACAATTTCTGATTCATATGGTCATTTTCACCATCTCTGGTTAACACTAATCCCAGTTACACATCGTTGTCGACGTTACTGGCTCCATGCATATAACATTGTGTCGGTAACGATGTTTAACTGGGGATTAGGACCGGTTGTTCAATGTCTGATTAGCACAAATCGGAGGTAGAAGCTCCGGTTAGATACAACGACTGCTTTATCGATCACATGTTATATGCATGCTGTCGAAATCGTTGATAATGATGTTTAACCGGCACGTAGTGATAACCAGACATTGAACAACCGGCCCTTAGGGCCGGGTACTCAATGTCTGGTTAACACTAATCTCCGGGTAAACATCGTTATCGACGTGTTCGGCTCCATGCAAATAACATGGTGGCGGTAACGTCGATAACGATGTTTAACCGCAGATTAGTGTTAACCAGATATTGAGTAACCGTCCCTTAGCGCCGGTTGTTCAATGCCTGGTTATCACTACTTAACATCGTTATCGACGTTTTCGGCTCCATGCAAATAACATGGTGTCGGTAACGTCGATAACGCTGTTTAACAGGGGATTAGTGTCAACCAGGCTTTGAGCAACCGGCCTTATATTTCTTATCTACTTAGTACTCCTTTCGGACTCATATATCCTGAACGCTCAGAATATGTTTGCGGAGTTTACACAACAATTTGACAACTAATAAATATTCTTAATTGTGTTGTCTCAAATTGTCTTATGTAAACGCAGCGTAAGACCTATAGTAAACAGTCGATGTTATAAGCTCTCGATGTTATCACTAAACTTCGATATGCCGTCTTTGCCATATAGATGTCTCATCACTAAAACATGTGTAGGTAAACAAATATTATTAATTTATAATTATGGACATTTTAATATATGTTTATAATAACATGCCTTTTTTGGTGCTAACGAAATTACTTTATTCCACTGGCTATTCGACCTGTCCTGAACTTCATATTAGGAGACCACGTAGTCTGCTGTAAAACTTCTGCATTTTTTCCGGGCTGACTCGGATTAATCATAAATTAAATAAGTTATAATGCCCACTATTATCGCCTTAGACGGTTAGTATAAAGAATTAGTAAAAGCTAGAGATATAATTGCCCTCCTATTGCAGTATCGTTGTCGATGCAACGACAGATACCAGGACGCAGTGAAGAAAATACCCTAACTTACCATCAGCTGGCTTTGAAAGGGATGTCACAACTGTTAGAACATTTGTCATCTACATCAAAATTGGAATATGTTTCACTCATTACTTATTCAACGATATCAGAAGTTAAAGTTGATTTTACCCGCGATTACGATGTCATCCGTCAAGCGGTAAAAAAAGTAGAATCTGGTGATAAGCTCTGCATTATAAGCATGTTGAAAAATGTTGCGAGCATATTATCTACGAACTGGGGTACACAAAACTATTGTCAGGTTGTAGTGTTCACAGACTGTGGTTTGGGGTACGTAAAATAAATTTAAAATTAATGCATTGCTTTAGAAGAATATGAATATATTAAAATTGGAAACAAATGTGAAAACTAACCCTTTCTCATTACTGGTAGCTCTCGCAACTCATTGGAAAAGTCGTTACTATAATCCAGCTTACATGATAAGTTTGCATTGTAAAGAGATGTTAACCATGCATATGTATATTCTTTCAGTTTTGGTAGTACCGCACTCAAAGGGTTCTTACAAAGTTACGTTGACAAGGAAAATGAGTCTGAGTACGATTGGATTACGCATCTAAAGACAATAAAGTTAAATTTCATTTGCATGGGTGTTCATAATGATTATTACTTCACTCGAGCGTTTCCTATGTATCAACAGCTAATTGACTTCACTGGATTAAAAGGTTTTGGTTTATAACTTTTGTTCACATGAAATATAATTATTTATATAACTCTCGTAATTTTTTTAAAAGGTCAACTATATTTGCCGAAGCCACCAAAAGAAGTTGCTGAAGGAACAGAAAATACAAACGACTCAACCAAATCTTCGGCTAATATTAGTGCCAATACAACAACGACGGCCCCGACGTCTCACTCAAGCCACAAGAGTGAGCTTGGCCGTACTGCTATGTTTGAGTTGATTGAGCGAGTTTGCGAGGCTAACTTTAAGCCATACGAAGTGTTACTAAAAGTCGGTGGTTATTTCAGACTGGAATGTCCAGTTTTGATATGGCCCCCACCGGCAGAATATAGAACTGAAAATGGCATTAGAAGCGAATTGAAAATTTCACAAAAAATCGAGGTATGCGGATATTTGTCGCTTTCCGAAATCGGTTCACCTGCCTCTTTAAGTCGCCATTTAGTTATTCCTAAAGTAGACCGAGAGAAGCCAACACGACGCTCCTCGGAAAAATCCGGATCCTCAAAGTCGTCAATTGGCGGCAACGTGGGCACTAATACAAAAGCGACCCTAGATGTAAACCAGCCAAACTATGAATACGAAAAACTAGAGCAAGACATACGCGATTTCTACACGAAAGAAGCTAAGGATGGGGACGAAAGCAGTGAGGATGCTGAAGCAAGCCTAATAAAAACTAGCAGTGGTGCAGTAACCAGTGCTTTGGAGAAAGAGTCTATGTGCGTATTGTTGCATGGTGCCATGAAAGTCGAAAATCTAGCTGCATTGGTATTATTAAATGATAACTGGTATGGCTTTCTATATTCCTATGCAGATAGTAAAAAAAAGTCCAATTTAATGTTAAATATCCTACCGCCCGGAAATAATGTTATTCCCTGGTTGGGAGATTTGAAGTTGTTAGGATTTGCTGAAGATCTTTTGCCTGGCGAGACAAGTGCATTTCCGGTCAAGGCAGATAAGCGTTCATATTCACAAAGCTGTGTGGTGTGGATTAAACAAGTTAGTCTGCAGTCAGACGTCCAAAAAGTATTACGCCATGCAAAGAAAATGCCAGAAAAGACACAGCACTTCTTTAAGGAATTAAATCGCATAAGGCGTGCAGCTCTATCTATAGGCTTTGTCGAACTACTCGAAGCTATGGCCACACTGTTCGAGAAAGAGAGTGCACAACTTACCCTTGGTGCGAATCCCGAATGCAGTATACAATTAAAACATGCCGCAATCGAATTGCGAAAGCCATCCAATCGAGATCTAAAAATATCGATTGTTCCCCTGCAAAAATTTGGAGCATCTAGTAGTGGCACTGACAATGCATCATCGTCGGTGTCAGGCTTTGTGTACTAAAAAATTCATATACATACATATCGTCGCTTGGCGTGCAATATCGCGTATACGAAAATTCAATACCGCGTATGAGGTGGCTGAGAAAAAAAAAATATTTTCGGTACCGTGTCTCAGTGCTAGCCTACTTCACAAATTTAATAGTCAATAATTTTAGTATAGGCTCATATTTAATAGGTTCAAAAGTTTAGAAGAAAATAAGTTTATTTGCTTTTTTGTGAAATTTACGCATATTGTACGCCAAGCGACGTTTATTTTATATTTATTAGATACTTATATCAGGCCTCTCTACCTGTAAAAATATACTATTCATACATACATAATATAGGATTGGCATACATGCAAATATAAATACTATATAATTAGTTGTCTATGAATAATTTTATATCATTCAAATCAATTTTGTTCTACTCGTCATAAATCTCCTCTCTTATATCTCTCTCGGGGTTCTGAAAAGAGCAGATCTTTCCCAGGAGCAGACATTCCCACGACAGCCGGTTCTACGTACCGGAATGACTCGGGTTTTATCCGACCAAGGGCTGTTGTTTCGGCGATCCAGCCCCGTTTAGGTCGGCGAAATCCATCAAACGTTGCTCGATCCTAGGGCTACACCTTCTCCGCACCCTTCTGCTCAGGACTGGCATAGTGTCAAAACTAGGGCCAGAAATCTACACCTGCTGCGTATGCCAGAGACAACTGCATACAAACCCCCCCTCGGTCAGGTGCAATGCCTGTGACGGGTGGAGTCTCCTCCGTAACTGCTCGGGCCTGCGTACGCACCGGCAATGGACCACGTCGTTCGTGTCCCCATGCTGTGCGAACCGGACCGCCTCCACGGCAAACCACCACCCACCTGGGCAGCACACAATCAACACACCCACACACCGCCGCCGGCAACTCCTAGTCCCTACGGCAATCTGCTCTGTTTGTCAGTCCAGAATATACCGTAACGTAACATCAGTCAAGTGCAACTCTTGCCTCGGCTGGTGCCACTTTAGGGCGTGCTCAGGACTTCGCAACACACGAGATGGGACGAGTGACCATTCCCACAATAGCCGGTTCTACGTACCGGAATGACTCGGGTTTTACCCGACCAAGGGCTGTTGTTTCGGCGATC